TACGAAACAATCTCAGACGGTTTATCGAAAAGCATTTTTCATCAGCAACGATAGATCCCGTTTGAAAAAAAAGTGCGATGCAAAGATGAATTCTCATTTATGAAAGCATAAATCGCCAGCAATTCGATGAAGTCGTTTATGTTCAATCCCGTTTTCTGACCATCAATGGCGATTGAACGCAATGACCGAGAGAACGAGTGGCTCGTCTCAAACGACCTTGAAGTGACCTTCAGATTCTTAAATTTCTATATTGCGCAGCATCAACACATTGATCAAGCGCATGTCATTTCATGATGAATAATCGTTGGTTATTCAATATGAATTCATCAGCGATGTGCAAATGACAACACGCAATGAATTATAACGAAACGTCTTCGAGCAAGAAGGTGAGAGTGCCGAGAAAAACCGAAATTGACCCACAAAACCGGTCGTGAATGAAATTTCGAAGACTTTCCACTCGCTCTTGATACTGACTGATCTACGTGTGCCTACTTATGCATTTCGTTCAGTTTATTCAAATATCGGTCATTTTGCTAGTGGCCACTGTCNATTGTAATTGCGTCTAATTAAATTTCTTCATTCCATCCAATGATCTTGCCCTTTTATTGAGCACTGTGAAACAAACTTAGTGAATATCATGAAGAGTGCTCATTCAAATGACCATTTCTAAAGCAACTCTGCACTACTTAGAATTGTTCCACTCTGCCACCGATAGCATCTATTCAGCACAACGATCCGCACACAGCTCATCCCAATTAAGAGATTTTCGACGATCGGAAATGCATTTGTTACTAATCACAGATATACGTGTGTGTATTTGTATTGTTGTGCTATTGTATTATATTACATTTGCATTGAATTTCATTTAGTTGGAACGTCTCTGAATGTTTGATTAGAAAAGTGTTCAACAAAGACACAAATAGTTTCTAGATTACATAGGAAGGCAAGATCTGAAGAGGGCATATGTAAAGCTGGTATGGGGACAATTTTAGAAAACAAGAGAGTTTAGGAGAACGAAAGGTAAACACGAAGATACGACGGCTAAAAACGAAGAGAAGATGAGGAAAAGTTCAACAAGGAACACTCAGAANTTTTTTTTGCTAGGGCAGCATGATTTGTTGATAAACAAAGCAATTGAACGCGGATTATAAAAATGAAACGAAAAGAGCTTTTAGCGTGTATGGCTTGCATTGCACACAGTTTTGTGTGTACAAAAGAAGAATGAACATATCGCCGCATCTCTAATGATCAAGCGAGCATTCTAGTGATTACACAACACACTCATTCGTACAAATACAATTAATTAATCAAACAAACATAAATACTAACAAGAAGAATTACTCATCACACAAAATCAACACCGGAAGACGGGCGCTGACGAAAAATTCACTTAAACACATGGAATTGTGAAAGCACAAACCGATTCAGCTAAAAGAACCAACTTCAAAATCAGTAGAAGAGCTAGCGTGAAAGCCTTTGAAAAGCGAATGTTCATGAGAGATTTGGTAATCATTATGAGAATGAAGCAACTCACTAAGGTCAGTGGTATCGGTGGTAGCATCAGATCGATATCGTCGGCAACCTCCTTGCGATAACGCTAACAACATCTCAGCGTTAGCCGACGACGAATGAGGAGATCGTGAATCGGACGATTCCTAGAAAATCGTATCCGTATCAGTTCGCATTTAATACATCCATATGGGAATACGCTCGTTTGTATGGAAATGAGCCTTTCATATAGTAAGAATTCATTCTCGCAAATCCATGATAAGTTTAGAATAGGAACCATAAATTGTCCATAAAAAGGTACAGGTGTATGCCGCCTTCGAGTTAGCCGGAACACCTCACTGTGATTAGCCGACGGAGAATCCGCGAGAATTTCATCCGAAAGGGTCGTTTGCTTACTGTCACATCTGGACGCCTGTAATAGACACTTACTCCTTGTAGGAGATACTTCAATCAGCATTATAGCTGTATCAGCAGAGAACTTAAGCGATATTCAGATCAAATGAGTTGATCACCATCAAATGAACACTGAATACTATCTCCAAAAAAAANAAAAAAAAGAAACCTTGTGTTCAATGAAAGCATTGAAATGATTCAGTGAGAACTGTGAATGGCATGAACCACAGATGATGATATCCACATCCGAATTTGTATTTACATTTGCATTTATATCATCACTACTGCTATCACTGGGTGATGCCACTCCATCCACCACACAACCGCTCTCTTTCATTTCCACATCAACCTCAGCCGACGATTCCACGCCACTATCTGATGATGCCATTGGTGTACCTACAAGTAAACGTAAATGTTTCTAGTTTTCAAAAGGAATTAAGCGAGACTCTTTTTTTCACGAAAACGCTCTTATTGAACTACTCATCGAATGTGTACCAAAAACTTTCGTTGTTTATTTCGTAGCAATTCAATCAATATATTCTCACTGAATTTTGTATAGAACATTAGATAACGAACCAGCTAGTTTGACGTTAGCTGACTGTGCACCTGATGATTCCTCATCAGCAGCCTTAGAAAGGTCATCGTTGAGTGTCTGCTCTTCAACGACTTCCACTTCTGGAGGAGCGTCAGTTTCTTGTTGGGGTTCTTCAACTACACTTTCTTGAACCACCTCCTTGTTCTTCGTGGATGCGGCTTTTCGACCTCGCCTGATAACAAAAAGCATATTGTACAATGAACTGAATTAGTTTAACGCTGAAAGCACATATTAACGGAAAGTTACATAC